ATTAGAGGTCTTTCTGGACTACTGAAAGACAGAGACCAGATAGTTTAATTAGATGCGACTGAGCCATACACAATAATAAATTATCTTAAGGGAATCTATTACTGTTCTGTGTAGGCAGCCTCAGAACAGAACAAATGTATATTCTATGACAAAGACTGCCAACAGATGGAAACACCCTTTCACTACAAAAGTTACCTTGTGGAACTCCTTGTGATAATGCATACCTGAATCCCGCTAAGCTCTTGGCTCCAAAGAAGAAGAATGCAGAAGCAGAACACATGGCACAGGAGGACAGCTATCATTACAGAATATAACCTCCCACTGATGGGGTGTGGTGGAAATGGACATGCTCCTATAAGGAAATGATTTTATAGTAGTTCCTCATTGATTTTCTTACACCTTCACCTTATACCAAAAAGACATTGGTCTAGATGGACCTGTAACACAGAGTCAAGCCCGTTATGGAAGAAAAAGAATGGGAAGTGGACCCGACCCCTTTAAGGCCAGAACCATTTAGCAAACTTGCTAAATGCATACTTTGTGTGAGTTTTTCCACCAGTCCCATGGGATGCCCCTTCCCACTACTGGACAGGGAGGCCCGGGTGAGGGAGATCCCTCACCCTCCATCAAAGCTGACCTCATGAAAGAACACGTTGAGAGGCTGGATACCTTCAAGTCAGCCGGCCCTGACAGTTTACACCTGAGGGTACTCAAATAGCTGGCAAGCATCATAGCTCAGCCCCTGGCATGGATCTTTGAGAACTCCTGGTGCTCTGGTGAAGTGCCCAAAGACTGGAGGAAGGCCAACGTGGTGCCTATCTTCAAGAAAGGGAGGAAAGTGGATCCAGCATACTACAGGCCCATCAGCCTGACCTCTATCCCCGGAAAGGTCTTGGAAAAGATTACCAAAGAGGCCATCCTTAAAAGACTGGCTGATGCCAACATCCTGAGGGATAGCCAGCACGGGTTTGTTGTGGGTAGGTCTTGCTTGACCAATCTCATTTCCCTTTATGACCAGGTGACCTATCACCTGGACCAGGGGGAAAGAGACTGATGTCATATATTTTGACTTTTAAAAAGCCTTCGATCTGGTATCCCATGATCACCTCTTAGCAAAACTGGCTAATAGCAGCCTTGGTTGCACCACGATCCGCTGGCTGGGGAATTGGCTCCACGGTAGGACCCAGAGGGTGGTGGTTGACAGAAATCAATCGTCATGGTGCACTGTGACCAGTGCGGTCCCTCAAGGCTGTCCTTGGGCCTATACTATTTAACATCTTCATTAATGATGCAGACATTGGTGTCAGAAGCGGACCGGCCAAGTTCGCCAATGACACCAAACTCTGGGGTAAAGCGTCCACACCTGGTTATCCAGGCGGGTTATCCAGGCTGACCTTGACAGGCTCAGGAAATGGGTGGATGAGAACCTGATAGTGTTTAACACCAAAAAATGCAAGGTTCTCCACCTTGGGAGGAAAAACCTGCAGCATGCTTATAGGCTCGGCAGTGCTACACTGGCTAGTACTCTGGACGAAAGGGACTTGGGGGTCATGATTGATCACAAGATGAACATGAGCCTTCAATGTGATGCTGCGGCTAGTAAAGCGAGCAAAACGCTGGCTTGCATCCACAGATGTTTCTCAAGCAAATCCCAGGTCATTCTCCTGTTGTACGTGGCTTTGGTGAGGCCACAGCTGGAGTACTGCATCCAGTTTTGGGCTCCACAATTCATAAAAGATGTGGAGAAGCTTGAGAGAGTGCAGACGAGAGCCACACGGATGATCAGAGGTCAGGGAAACAGACCTTATGATTTGAGGCTGAGAGTCATGGGACTCTTCAGCCTGGAAAAGCGCAGGCTCAGGGCTGATCTGGTGGCCACCTACAAGTTTATCAAGGGTGCTCACCAGGATCTGGGGGAATGTTTGTTCAACAGAGAGCTCCAAGGGATGACAAGGTTGAATGGTCACAAACTCCTCCATGACTGTTTCAGGCTGGACATAAGGAAAAACTTCTTTACTGTCTGAGCCCCCAAGGTTTGGAATAGACTGCCGCCAGAGGTGGTTCAAGCACCTACTTTGAACACCTTCAAGAGACATTTAGATATTTATCTTGCTGGGATCCTATGACCCCAGCTGACTTCCTGCCCCTGGGGCAGGGGGGCTGGACTCAATGATCCTCTGGGGTCCCTTCCAGACCTAGTGTCTATGAAGTCTATGAAATTTGGCTCAGCAGAGGCCTCAGACCAGAAAAGGAGCTTAGGGAGAGACTAGGAAAGCAAAGCAGCGAGGTCCCCACTAGCTCCAACACTGCAAGAGACTCCTGACATGGGAGGCAGAGTGGGTCAAGTGACTGGAAAGGCAAGGGAAGGGGAGCAGAAGGGCTAAGGGAGACAAAAGCTCACCCCAGAAGTGAGAAAGGGTCAGTCAAGCCATGATAATTTAAAAGAATGGATCAGCCCTGCCCGACGGAGGGAAGGCCTTGGTGGGCAATGTAAGTAGCCCTGGAAAGGGAGCAAGTTTCTGCTGAGATTTTTTTTCCCCCTTGTTTGAGCAAAAGCCTGTGAGGCAAAATCCTGAGTTAAGACCCTGTCTGTTTACCCTTATGTAGGGAGAACTAAGTTGAGATATTTTGTTCAATGGACATCTGGTGGACTGGAAGCGGCTACAAGGGGAGATATGGAGGCCACAAAACAGGGTGTCCCAGCCTGTATGGTATTCTCCCCTCAGAGGAGGTCAGAGGCACTGGCACAGTGGTCCTAATGCAGGAACTTGAGCTGGGAGCAAGGGCTGATGAACCTGATGTGGTAGCCAAGGGGGTTAGGCAGTGTGTCTGCTGAGCCTAAGGTTCTGGGTTCTAGCCCTGGAAGAGCAAAAGCAGAACAAAGAGAGAGTTTGAAGGCCCCAGAACTGCAGGCCCAGACCAAGCCAGACCCCTTGGTGGAGCTGGTGAATTGGAATCTGAGACAAGATACCTAGAGAGTCAAACACCAGAAGTCTGGCTAAGTAGTAAGACCTCACCATCAGAATCCCTGCCCTGCTTTGGGCAGAGGCAGAACACCTCCCAAAAAAACTTCTTTCAGCAAAGTGTGGCAGGCAAGTCAGGACTGGGGAGGTTTCTAACTGGGTGGTGGGACAACAGGATTGGCCATGACAAAATGGAGAGCCCCTTTGTTTGACTCGTGTCAGAGGGCCATTGGTCTGTTTTGATCACTGTCAGCAGGTTGCAGTTCAAGGCAGAATTAGGTTTAACATTATTCAAGAGTCTCTTAATGTACTATGAAAGCTATGCAGTTAAAATATAAGTTAGCAAATGCAAAATACCCCAGCAACATTACACACCCTTCCAGTTCTGGGGCACATTTAATAGATTTCTAGGGTCAAAAGGGACCTATTAGATCACTGAGTTCGACCCCCTCAGAAGACCCCAGCCAGGTGTCTGTCCAATCTCCTTTTAAAATACCTCCAAGGAAGGGGACAGCACCACCACCCTTGGAAGTGTATTTCATATTTTGGCAACCCTCACTGTAAAGAATTTTTCCCTGATGTCCAGTCTAATACTGTAGGTGATGGTGCCAGAGTATAGTAGTATTTTGCAACATTTCTATGATCACAGGGCATGCCCCAGGTTCCTCACCTTATTGTACATCCTGGGAAGAAATGGTTTAACTTTTAGCTTGGTTTAGGGAGAAGGCAGGCTTTGGTTTCTATATATTGCTGTCAATCAGAAAATGAATGAAAAATAAGTGAATTAAGGAATCTCCCCTCCACAGAAAATGCCCTTGGGCAAATACAAGAGTAGCCACAACTGGAGACTGCTTTGCAAATGCTTCCATCCAGAAGAGGGGTGAAAGAAATCCAACGGAACAAACTGATTTGAAAAAGGAATGCATACTGTACCCCAGAAACACAAAAAGCATTAGACCCCAAAGAGATATTGCTATTTAGGTCTGTCCATTTTGCTGATATGCACTCCACTTAGGTATAAGTTGGCATTTTAATCCAAGGACTCTGATGTATTGCAGTTGCCCAATAAATGATGATTATGCTTTAGAAAGGCTGCCTGCTTTGTTGTATTTTACTTCAGCTGTGCTGTTTCCCTTAGAGATGTAAAGTCTCCATCTAGAGCTGAACCAGCTGCAGCTCACTGGTGTGCCCATAAGACAAAAGCTGCTGTGACCTAAAGGTCTGGTCATCAGAAACTATGCTTGAGCTGGCTTCAAGGAGTATGCAGAGAGAGATATACAGTGTTAGCAAAAGGAAAAAAGACCAAGGTCCCTATCAAATGTAACTCTGCTTTTAGCGGAGTCATCCTAGCTTGAGACATGGCTCCATATGCTGTCTAATTCATGTCATAGCTGGAATCTGACATGTTGCATTTCCTTAACTTCTATGCAGCACTCAGTGGATAAGCTGAACTCAAGGGCCTGTCTGGCATCTCATTTATATGCATCTGAACAAGAGGACGGACATCCAAGTTGCCTAGCCTGACCCCTCTACCCTGAGGGAAGTGATAAGATTTCAGGCCTGAAATTCCCACCTTTTCTTTAGCTTCTTGCCTTCCTCCTTGGAGGCTGGTAGGATCATGGCCAGGTATGGTCCATCCACTTCAAAGAAGATGCTGTTCTCTGATCGGGTGACATAGGTGAGTGAGGTTGGATCCACAAGCTCTTGGTACTGATCATTTGTGAAGCCTTCCTGCAGGCAAAATCCCACCAAAGAACAGCTTCAATGAACTACTGGTTTCACACTCTGCAGAGCAAAGAATGACAATCCCACCTTAAATTGCATGCCCATCCCCCATGACTATCAAAATCAGTCTCTGCTTGCTCACAAGGAGTATGGGTAACATCTTACCACTTCAGAACAAACATTACCTCTACATGCTCGTCTAGAGCACCTGTCTGCAAATTTAAAGAACTTAGCAGAACACATGATCAACGACCTGAGCTGCACTTGGGCAGAAAAAAAGCAAAAGATTTAAAAAGTACTTCAGTTAGGTTATAGCCAGTGGAACACTAGCAATATGAGTGTTTGTCAGGAAAAACCCACATATCTTGGGTTTATACCCAAGTAGGAGAGGCAGAGCGGAGAATTTGGGAAGGCGACCGTCTAAAGAGAAGATCTGATGAAGCAGCAAATTGGCTGTTCACAGCTTTCGCTGTCTTCAACCTTCACGTGGTTAAACCAGAGAGCAGAGGTCAGTGGGCTACATCATACTCTAACACGATCCCAAAGCCAGGGTATATACACTGAGAACAGAGACTAGCAAGGCCACTGCACAGGTCTCTAAGCACAAAATGCCATTCATCTAGTCTGTGGACTGAAGGAGTACAACTAATTCTGAGCTCTTGCTCTCTGGGAACTGCTACCTGAACCACACTGAAGAGTTCTTGAACTCTTCCATCATTCAAAATGATGGGTTTGTGCTAATGATTCTATAAGCTATCAATGGCTGGCAACTATGGACCAAGTAAAACTGAAAGCCATACGGTCCTATTCATAACAAAAGGGGCAGTGATAAACCAGAAGGCATCCTCTGGGGAAGGACACTGATAACCCAAAAGGCATCCTGTGGGCTAACTTCCTGCAAGCAACTTGTGCAATATTAGGTCAATTCAGAGAACAGCTTGTATTGGCTAATCTACCGTACCTGGATAAATGCCAGAATCACTCTCCTTTGAGTCCTCCATTGCCCTTTACCACCCACCTCCTCCATCTCTTTGGAGCCAGTCTAAAATGGTGTTAGACTTACCTTCACTAGGATGTTCAGCATGGCACCTGGATATGAGATGGTCACTTTGGGCTTCTTTACGTTGTTTGATTTGATTACAAAGTTTTCTGGGAAGCTGTTGGGAAGGACGCACCAGATTCCATCAGTGTCGAGCTCCAGGGGCCTCCTGGAAAAGAAGGGAGAGCAAGTCCAGATGGGAGATGGGAAGACATGCCACAAGACTATGTAAATGCTTGGATCTTTGCCAGTTGTGCAGGTAGGCAGGCAGTCTACCCTTCCACTGACCCAGAGCTCCCCCATTAACATGAACACGTGCATACGAAGTACCTGAAGGTGTCAGTCTATGCTGCCAGCAGTGAAGTTGGAACATCAGCAATTCACTTGCCTTCACATTATACATCCCATTGGGATTCTGTCCTGCAGTCAAACCTGCACCTAACACAGGGGCATCTGGCCCGCCAGGCCATTCTATCCAAAGGTGGCGGCAGCCAGGGGCAGCAGGACCCAGGGGAAGCCAGCAGGAGCTAGCAAGAAAGCCACCCCTTGCTGAAAGTACTTCTGGGGGCAAGGGGAGGGACTTCCAGTCCCAAGATGGTGACCAGGGAGCAGGGCACCTGTCAGGGAGCGGGGCTACCCATGTGGCCCTCGATACCTTGCCAAAACTCGGTAAGTGGCCCTCCACCCAAAATAATTGCTTGCCCCTGCTCTAACACGTTTCTGCCATGTGTGTCATCAGTCGTTGGAGGCACTCACCCAATCTGCTCTATCAGTTCCCTGGCCTGCGTAATGATGTTTGCTCCAGTGAAGCAAACAATTCCAGCCATCTCCATGGAGTACCAGCGAGCCCTGTGGGGAACACAGGCTAGAGATGAACAGGACAGCAGCATCTCTTACACCAATCTTTAGGGCAGGGGTTGGCAATGTTTTTGGCTGGAATGCCAAAAAACCCACAATATCTTCTTTGTAAGGAGCCAGTGCCAGCATGCCAGAAAAACAAAACGGGGGGTGGGGGAAATCCATGGCAGGACGTACTGTATATTAATATAGTTAATAATCATAAATGCTTTTATTTTATTTCTTATTTTTTACAGAAAATACCAGGTTTTTTAAAAATTCTAAACCTGGTGACAATAAATAAAACTTCATATACTACCTGTTATTGTGTATTCTTTTTTTGTTAAGCATGTTGTGTGTGAGAGAGAGAGAGAGAACGAACCAGAACACACACGGAACCACACACACACAAACACACAGAACAGACGCATGCAGACATCTGAAACCCAGATTCAAGTGCACACCTGCATGCACACACACAGAACCAGACATACACATGCAGACAGAAACACACAGAACCAGACCCACGTGGACAGAATCAGACACATGCACACACACGTACACAGAACCAGACGCGCACACACGCAGGCACATATGCATGCATACGGCTGGGCTGCAGGACAGAGTCCAACCCAACTATGGCCCAGGCCCACTGCAGCCCCTGTGCTTCTCCAGGGAGCTGGCTCACAGGCTGCAGCACAGCCCGCCAAGGCCCCGGCCTGAAGCATGCCGATCAGCCAGCTGCAGGGGTGGTGCTGGGGAGAGCTACAGCCACTCCAACATTTGCCTTAGCCTCGCTGTAGCCACCCCTCCCAGTGTAGTCACTGCCCACCTGCCTCACGCAGCTGAGCCCACAAAGGTGCAGCACTCCCGGATGCGGGGGGTGGGTTTGGAGAGTGTGGGTGGCCACAGCCAAGGCAGCACTAAGGTGAATTTTGGGGTGGCCACAGCTCCCCCAAGCCACCCAAGTGCTGCCCCTGTGCACTGGGCTCCAGGGCACATGCATGCAGGCCTCCAGGTAGACAGCGGTGGAGAGGCTGGGGTTGCAATGCCCCAGCCCTTCCCCAGCCTTGTGTCGCTTGTTGCAGTTGCTGCCAGCATGGAGTTGGTGCCAGGGCTACGGAGCCTCAGAGTGGATGGTGGGGGAGGGGCCTGGGGTTGCGCTGTTTCATGGCTCTCTTCCGCCGTCCGCTCAAGGGGTGTGTGCAGCTACCACTGGCACAAAGCCTGGCTGGGGCTCTGAAGCCAGGGGTGGCACTAGGGCGGCTATAGCCAAACCAACATTCACCTTAGCCCCCCCCAGTGCTGCTGCCACCCACCCACCCCCTGCAGCTGAGCCCACCCACTCCCACTCATAGTGCAGCCTTCTCTGAGCCCCCTCACCAAGAAGAGACTGGTGCCGCCCCTGCAGCTGGCCCAGGCTCCGGGTAGCTGCTGCCAGCCACAAAACTCGAGCTGTCTGCAGCAGGGCTTGTAGCCTCCTAACCACCTGCAGGGAACAACCCTGGCTCCATAGCTGGCAGCAGCTGCCCAGAGCCCGGACCAACCCCACTGTGCTGAGCAAAATGGCCTTGCTTGCTGTGCTCTGGTACATGTGCTGCAGGTTGCCGATCCCTGCTTTAGGACAAAGGACACAATGAGGAATCACAAGATGAAAGCGTCTCCAAAGCAAGAAAGGCAGAACAGACAGCACTGCAGATCATACCTATTTCCCCTGCTGATGTCTTATCTCCTTAGGTCTAGATCATAGACCCTGTGTCACAAGAAATATCTGGACGCTAGACACCAAAAACAGCAGGGTCATTTTTACCTGGCCCATTAGCATTACCTAGACAACAGTGAGATTAGTATTACAGGAATTGTTCACTGTAACCCACAGGCTTCAAAATAAGCTACAGGCTGGGGGGATGTCTGTGTAGGATCAACCAAGCAATCTTTTTTCCTATAACCTCTACCCAGAGAACATACCAGAAAGAACAAATAGGGGAAAGTACATTTCTAGATGCCCTCAGAGAGGTCATAGTTAGTACACACCCTTTGCGCATGACATAGCCATAGAAAGAGTTGAGAATACACTTGTGAGCCAGCTGCAAAGAGTCATACAGGATCTCCATATTCTTGCAGCGCTTTACTTCGGAGGCGTCTCCAATCTCCATGGCTGCAGCCAGCTTCTTCTTCCACACCTGAGAGTGACAGACACAGCAATCAGTGATTCTGCCATCCATTACAGGGAGTGACAATGTCCAACCAACTTCCATGAGAACATCAAAGGCATGGGATTGTCGGGATCAGTCATATTAACTCTATTATTCTTTTACCTGTACCTAGACCAGGGGTTGTCAACTGGGGGTACACATACCCCCAGGGATACTTAGAACGGCCATAGGGGGTATGCGTGGGTGGGCGGGCACACAGTGCACCCTGGGGTCTGGTGGCGGCATCTTCCCTGGCCCGTTCCCACAGTTCACCTCTTACCCGAGGGAGGTGAAGGAGCATGCTGTGCACTGCCGGCCCCACACAGCACACCACAGCACCTCCCCCTTCCCCCCACCTCAGCTAGTTCTCCTCCATCCTCTTCCTGGAGAACAGCGGGGGTCTGAATGGCAGGCGGGGGGGTGGAAAAAAGGACTGTGCTTCTGTGCTCACTCCCAGGAACAGGGCTGGGGGGCAAGGGCAGTGATGTCCCCCTGTGGGCCACACAGATGCCTTCCAGCCAGCCAGACTCACGCAGTAGGAGCAGTAGGGCACAGGCAGGAAGGGGGCAAGTTAGGAGGCAGGCAGTGAGAGAGGCAGACAGCTAGCGCCCTGCTCATTTGGCCCCTATTGTGCCTGGCCCCCCCACAGCTTCAGGCCCCCAATCTTCCTTCCATTCCCTCTTTCCACACCACTTCTGCTTCTTGTAACCTTGGGTCCCCACCCTCCTTCCTCCCATCTCCCCCTGCTCCCCTCCACTCCCCTTACCTTTGCTCTACAACAGCAGGCTTCATCCTCACAGAAGCATGGAGCACATACTCTGTGCTCCTGGCTGCAGCAAGGACGGAGCCTGCTGTTGTGGAACAAAGGTAAGCAGGAGTGCGGCAGAGAGGGAGAGAGGGAAAGACTGGGAGTAGCAGGGGGGTGCAGAGGCCACAAGGAGCAAGCAGAATCTACGGCTCTGGCTCAGGCTCCCACCCTAGCTTGGGGCCACAGTCGCAGTCACTTGCCACACCCCATACCAACCTCGTACTTGATTATAAGGTGAGGGGCTTTCCCCTCTCCCCCACAACATTAAGGGGAAAAAAGCCCTTGTCTTTTAATGCAGTAATATGTTAAAAAATACAAAGCAGAACTGTCTAGGTTGAAAAGGCCATTAGCCCATCTAGTCCTAAGACAGGGCTGAGGAAGTTAGGGATAAGGGGCAAAGCACAAAAAGAGAGAGCCTTGACTGCTCCTTTTCTGGAGCATTCTACCACTGAGGAAAGGAAAGGGTTGAACCCTACCCCCTAGCCTCATGCCTTTTTTATTCTAAATGGGATGCCCCAAAATGAAAACAAAACAGATCCATATAAAAGGCAGGGAGCAGAAACTCAAAGTTCACTAAATCCTGTGTGAATTAAGCTGCATCTGTTTAGTTCATGGGTATAGCAAGTAACTGTGCCATGAAGCTGTTAGTGCACTATAGCTAGAACCAAAGAAGACCCAAGCAGGGTGCAGGGCGCGAGGAAGCCGGCGGCAGATTCGGTGGCAAGGTGAGGGCGCCAAGTGGCCAGACGCACTGGATTCAGGGAGTGGGGGACAGGACACGGCCCTGGCTACAGCTGTTTGAAGATAACAGCCAGAGAAAGATCCATGTACAACCCCTTGGCTCTCTGAACTACTGCTTAGCTTTGCATTAAATGTGCGTCAGACTCAGCAAGCTGCACTCACAGCCTAAGCAGTTCTGTGCAGGAACTATCAGTAAGAAGAGAACATATTTAGCCTTTTATGGGCAAAAAAGCTAGCGAATTTGAGGCCCGGACCTTATGCAGCCCCTTGAACTCGTAGCGACGGTCTCTGAAAGCTCGCACAGTGTCCACATAGAATGAATTCTCCCGCTGACAAACAGTGGTGACGCGTTCATCCACCTTGGTGACACGTATCTTCTTATAGGCCTTCCGGCAGTAATCTATGAAAGAATGAATAGGTGGAGCTCGGTCAGAGATCTGTGCACCCACAAGTACAGATAGCATACTATGCCCATGGCAGAATGGAGAAGCTACTAAGCCTCTCATGTCCAGCCACTGTGGACCAAGTTCCTAGATCAGGGATGGGCAAAATACGGCCTGCGGGTCGGATTTGGCCTGCTGGAGGAGTGGATGTGGCTTGCAGCTGCCCCCAGGGCAATCTGCATGGGGCCATGCCCTGCCCGCTTGTGCCAGGGCAGCCTGCTCTGGGCTACCATTAGCCCCCAATGACCCAGCTCCCAGACAGCGCACAGCTTCTGGTGCGGGTGTTCACAGTGCAGCTGTAGCTGGGTGCTGCTCTGTACCCCCAGCCTCAAGCAGTGGCTTGTGCTTTTGATCTTGCCCCTGCCCATGCCCCTCTAGGTGAGCAGTTTCAGCCAGGTGGCTCATATCACAGAGTGAGGGGGCTGCGGCTCCACTGGAAGGCGACTGGTATCTGAAACCAGAGTCCCATGTACTCGCTGGGAGCGGCACAGTGTGGCAGAAGCGGGAGGAAGAGCTGCTGCTGGAAGCAGGGGGTGCAGAGCAGCACCTGGCCAGCTGCAGCCACAACGGGAACAGCCCAATGGAAACAGCTCCTACTTCTACCATGCTGCATCACACCACTCTGAGCGAGTAGGCAAGAAGCTTCACCTGGGCAGCTCCTGCCCCAGCAGCAGGGCTTCAGCTTCAGCTCCCAGCCACCTTCTGAGAGCTGGAGCTGAAGCACCACATGCTGAGGTAAGAGCCTAGCTGACGTTCCTTGCCTGGAGTGGCATGGTGAGGTGCAGCAGGGGCAAGATCAGGAACAGGAACTACCACTGGAAGCGTGGGGCACAGGCCAGCACCCAGCCAGGCTGTGGGCACTGGCAGGTGTGCAGCATGGGCTGCCCTGGTATGAATGGGCAAGGCACAACCCCATGTAGAGTGCCAGGGGGACAGTGTGGACTGCAGTGCCTGGGTGAGTTCTGCTGCATGTGCCCACCCCCTCCCCTCCCCTCCCTTCACCCACAGCAGGCTCCCAGGACCTAGCACCTAGGCAGGCCCCCCTCCACAGATACACCCACACATGCCCCTGCCCTTTGGGATATGGGGTGTTGGGAGGCATGTGATCCCAGCCTCTCCCACCCCTCCCACTCCTGAATGCTGCTTCCCACCTGCCCACAGCCCCATAGGGAGTTTTGGTGAGTTGCTTTTGGGAAGGGGGTGGGAAAGAGATAACATCCTAACTATGCAGATGTGCAGGCCCTACCAGCACAGACCGAAACAAATTCGCAGATGATACTAAGATGTGGGGGGAAGTGGGCACGCTAGAAGGGAGAAATAGGCTGCAAGCAGACCTGGACAGGTTACAGGGGTGGGCGGATGAGAACAGGATGGGTTTCAACACTGACAAGTACAAGGTGCTGCACCTGGGGAGGAAGAACCAGCAGCATACCTACAGGCTGGGGAACTCCCTTCTCGTCAGTGCAGAGGCAGAAAAGGATCTTGGAGTCATTATTGATGCCAAAATGAACATGGGCCGACAGTGTGCGGACACTGTTAGGAAGGCCAACCACACCTTGTCCTGCATCCACAGATGCATCTCAAACAGGTCCAAGGAGGTGATCCTCCGCCTCTATGCAATACTGGTCAGGCCACAGTTGAAGTATTGCATCCAGTTCTGGGCACCGCACTTCAGGAGGGATGTGGACAACTTGGAGCGGGTCCAGAGGAGGGCCACTCGCATGATCAGGGGGCAGCAGGGCAGGCCCTACGAGGAAAGGCTAAGGGACCTGAATCTGTTTAGCCTCCACAAGAGAAGGCTGAGGGAGGATCTAGCAGTTGTTTACAAACCAGTCAGGGGGGACCAGCAGGCATTGGGGGAGTCCCTGTTCCCCCGAGCACTACCAGGAGTGACAAGAAATAACAGTCACAAGCTGGCAGAGGGTAGATTTAGACTAGATATCAGGAGGCACTACTTCACTGTCAGGGCGGCTAGGACCTGGAACCAACTTCCAAGCAAAGTGGTGCTGGCTCCTACCCTGGGGGTCTTTAAGAGGATGCTAGATGAACACCTTGCTGGGGTCGTTTGACCCCAGTACTCTTTCCTGCCACGGCAGGGGGTTGGACTTGAAGCTCTCTCAAGGTCCCTTCAGACCCTACAAACTATGAAACTATGAAACAGCGCCTTATCTACAGGATCAAGACTGGAACAATGGTGGGAGGGTGGACCGCCCCCCGAACAATGGGGGGAAGGGGGGCAGATGGGGAGAAGCTGCAACTGGGAGCTCCTGCCTCAGCACTTGAGGCTTTAGCTCGAGCACAGAGTAGTTGTAGGTAGGAGTGAAGGTCAGGGTGTACTGGGTAGGGCTCGGTCCCAAGCAGAGTGCCAGGGAGCAGCCACAGGCTGGAGGGTGCGTGGATCGCACCTACAATGACTGGGCAAGCTCTGCTGCACACACACACCCGGCCCCTCCCTCCCTCCCCCCACCCCATCCCCAGCCAGCTCCCAGGACCCACAGGCACACCAAAGCAACCCCACACACACCCATACCCATGCACCCCCCCTCCCATACATACCTCCTACCCTACCCCCACCACAAAATATACAAGAGTAAGACTATTTTGAGCTATTACACAATCACTTACATATACACTACTCAAACACACAAATCTGGAAAAAATATTTTTTGGCAATAAAATAGATTATAGTAGGTCTTTGAGTTTTAGTATACAATTTGGTTTTTTTTATCTATATTTTATTGAAATGATTTCTTCTGAAAGAAATAATGTGTGCGGCCCCCAACTCAATTGGTCTGGTGCCATTCTTGGGGAGGTTCAACACTCCTGAAACTCCCACCTATTAGTTGAGGGGAATGGGGCAGGTTGTTAGAGGGGTCACAACCCCTCACTACCTGGTAGGTAATGCCTGTGTCTCATAGCCTAGAGGGCAGAACTTCTGAGGCTCTAGGGGCAGGCCATGCACCATGAGGGTGGGCCCTGTCGAAGGGCAGTGTTTCCAAGTCAAAGGATGGACTTTCTGATGTTAGGGACCATGTGATGGGAACAGGGGATTCTGGGACCAACATGGCAGCACGCAGGGCAAGGTCTAGTGTCGGTTGGGTTGGGTGGGTCTTCTTACGTCATGGACCATGTGACAGGGCAGGACTTCCAGTTCTAAGACAGCAAGACTAGAGGTGCATCAATACATCAGTCTGATATCGGATCAGTACGGATATAAAGAAAATTGTCTCTATTGGATATCAGCCCAATGCGGCCAATAATTTGGTATATAAATGCCTGTGCTGTGCGCAGCCGCAGCACAGCACAGAGCAGAGCCGGCAGCGTGGAGAGCTGCCTCTAGCTGGTAAATCGGAAGGGGAGGGGCGAGGGAAGGAGCATGGGGGAGGGGCAGATCAATGCCCCCGGTGGTGAGGGAGGGGGCGAGGGCAGGCACTGCCCAGCCAGGGCAGGCGAGGCTCGTGGGCTCGGGGCAGCTCCTGTCACTGCTTGCACCCCAGGAGGGTTGGGTGGCGTGTGCGCAGCGTGGGGCAGGCTGCAGCTGCGGGGTGGAGCTGGAGCCAGGGCTGAGCGGGGCTTTTCTTGCTGGGGGCTGGGCTCGGAGCAGGCTCTGGCGGCACTGGGAGGAGGCTGCAGCCACACCAAATTTCGCCACAGCTCCACTCCCAAGCCCTGCACCACCACCTGCCACAGCCCCAGCTTTTCCCGGCGAGGTGGTGGAGGCGAGGCGTTCAGCTGGGGCTGCGCTGGGCAGTGGCACCGGGTTTGGGGTGGCTGCAGCCTCCTCCCAGCGCTGTCAGAGCCCACTCCAAGCTCAGCCCCTGGCAAGAAGAGTCCTGCACAGCACTAGCTCCACCCCGCAGCTGCAGCCCCCCTCGCGCCACACAGATATGGGAGGGCACATGCCTCCCCCACCTTCCTGGGGTGCAAGCAGCAGCAGGAGCTGCCCCCACCCCACAAGCCATGCCTCTGTCCTGCACCCCTCTCCCCCCTGCCGCTGGGTAGCATCTGTCCCCTCCCTCATAGAGGGGGGTGTCGATCTGGCCTCCCACGCCCCTTCCCTCCCTCTCCCTACACCACACCAGACTTACCACCTGATGGCAGCTGTATCCGATATCAGATTGGCATTGGCCGACATGCCTCCTTAAATAATCGGCTGAGTATCAGCCCCAAAATCTCTTATCGGTGCACCCCTAAGCAAGACCCCTCCCAAAAAAGTACTTCCAGGGAAGGCTAGGGACTTCTGGTGGCAAAGGTCAGGGGAGGGTCTTCATGTCCTAAAATGGCAATCGGGGGGCAAGGCACTTGTCAAGGAGGGGGCTTAGCAGTTTGGCAAAGGGTGTATCCTTGCGGCCCTTGACAGCTCACCAAAACTCGTTAAGTGGTCCTCCAGCCAAAATAAATTGCCCAACGCTACTACAGTTCCTACCTTCCTGGATATTTCTTCTCCAACAATGTTACAGAAATGGTGAAACTGTTAATGATGCTAACATTTCTGTTTAACTGATATGTTTTGGAGCTAATGATCATCAGAAATGAATGAATCCGTGGTCAAAAATTAGAAGTCACTGCTACCTATATAACCCTTATACTGATTCATCATTGGCATGTTTGTTTCACAACCGCAAGATTGGAAACTGGCTGCATATCCCAGGGAACAGTAAATAGGGACACTTGAAAAGAGGCAATGGGAACACAAGATTTGAAACAGCGAACAAAGTAATTCCTAAATTAAAATGAGAGAGGCGAGTAAAGTACTCTCTATAGAACAGACAAAATGAACACAGATTAGTCAATTATGCCTGCATGGGACAGTCCCTCTCATTACAGGCAGCAAGTGAATAATCCCTTGCAGCCCACAGATTGTACCCATGTAGACCAGGCAAAGAGTCAGCCTTTCTTCACAGATCTGAAGTAGCAACATAAGAAAAACTTGACTTTGTAATCCTGATGATGCAAAACAACATTATGTGCCGTGAGCTCTGAGCACTGGCAAATGCTATACAATAGATTTTCTCACCTGCTAATCGCTTTTTTTCATACTTGGCCTGTTCCTCACGGGAGAGCTCATGAAAGGCACGGGGTGGTCCATCTGGGTAGAATGAAGGAAACTTCTCTGACTCTAGCTGCTGCTGGATGCGGTGATACTCACTGCGGCTCGCAGGCACTACAAGGGAACATCATCATGAGGTGGGGAAGGATTAGGAAACGGGTTCAGACTATAACTGGGTCAACCTCCATGTTCTATCCACAATGCAATACAGTAAGAGAATTTTAACAGTCCAGCACCAAAGTATCACTCACTGAATTCCCCTCTCCATTGCCAGGTCATGCGACGCTGACAATTGGCACCTGGCTTGTTAAAGTCACAGGCAGCACATGTGGCCTCGTCCACCATCGCAGAGGGCTGGAAAGAAACAGACACACAAGATTAAAGAAACAAGCTTGGCTCTAAGACTCTTACAGTGCAACATGCAAGTCCCCAACTCCAGGCTTTTATGTTGCAGTCTTTATGGATGCATTATGGCTATATTAAATATTATATTATGGTTATATTAAAAATATTAATATATTATGGTTATATTAAAAACAGTGGATGGAAATGATCAGAAGAGGCCCATCTAGGCAGCACCCCAGATCTCTATCAACTGAATCTGGAACTCCTAAGGGGCTTCTCTCTGTTCTGACCACCTATCAGCTGTGGTTATAGCAGGCAATGGGTTTACTTCGAGTGCCTTCTTAGACCTTCAGACCCCAGCCCTGCTTTACCCCTCTATCCTGAAAAATTACTTAGCTCGTTGCCAGCTGAAAAGAATCTAAGGTCTCTTTAAGTGCCTGCTACCCACCTGCAACCTATTTGTTAGAATGATGTTGGGATACATGGCTCCCACATCCAGATGGTATATAAGGGGACACTCAATCCGATTAGGAACATCCTTCAAGGAATTCAGCTTGACTCTGATTTCATCACAAACCTGCAGTGAGGATAAGATGCACAAATCAGACAGAAAGAAAACAATGATTCAGCCACGGACCAAAGAGCAAACAAGGTCCCAAGAAGAGAGGAATAGGAAGAGCCAAGGGAGTAGGAAGCTTATAATGGTGGAATTACTTCTTTGGCATCAGTAAGATGCCACTTACAGAAACATGAGATTTTTGTTTCCAGGCCATAGCCCCTGGTGCTGGAATCAGGGCAAGTTACCTCCTGGAAATTGGTGACTTGATCCAATGGCAAACCCTCTTCTTCCTCAATGGCATGTCTTAAGGTCTTCTCCACACGCTGTAGCAGGAAGTCAAAGGCAGCAGGATTCTAGGAAGGTATGAGAATAAAAAAGTGTTATCTCCAGCTCTTCGTACCCAACATCCCCCACTGTCCAGTTAAGGAAGCAGCTACAAACTCCCACTAAGCTGCCATTTTCCAGGATAAGCTTTAGGAGATGTGTCTAGAATAATCTGGCTGTGGGGCAGAACTATACTGCTACCCAGCACGTCCACAGGTGCCAGACAGTGGAATGACCTTCAGGGAAGGTTAGCTGTGAAATAAGTAGGAGTAACTGTTGTGGACCTAGCAGCGGCAACACCACCAGTATGTGTTGAAGACAATAGATGTCAATGCTTTCCCTTCTGAAAAAACACATGCATCCTTAGACAGTGCTGTGACATGACAAGTACAGGTCACTACTAATATGAGCCTGCCCAGCCCCCAGCCACAAGTCTACAAGTCATCAATGGTGGAGAAGGTGAAAGATATTTTAGAATCTCAATGGCTGAGAAGGCAGATGAAGGCTGCGGTGGAACAAGATCCTCAGTTGTCTTGGTCTCCTTGCCACTGCATCAAGATCCCATTCTGTCAAGAGCCATGTGGAAACTGATGTGCAGCAACTTTTCCATGATAAAAGAAGTCACGCATAGGCATCTTCCATGAAAACAGCTTTCAGCACATTCCTCGAGCTCTTTGGCAACCAGCTAATGGTAACAGGAGCAGGATTGTGAGGTCTGGAAGTGCCTAGTCATAAACCGGCACAAGGGCAGCAGTTACAAAAAGGTCATCTAGCACTTGGACAAGACAGAAGTGAGATTTGGTAGCTGCAACTGTGACTGAGCAGCCCTCTTCAGGTTCTTCTCTGCTCACCCCACGTGGAACGGGGGCTAGAAAAGGTGCTCTAAACATAGCCCAGTACGGTATTCTGTATTTCCTCCTGACTAGATAACCGCTTCCAGTAGGATCACCTTTACTGTGGTCAAAAATACCAGTGAAGACACACCATCATTTTTGGGACCTTGAACATTAAGAACCTCATAGAAAACCCCAATAGTGAACAAGAACTCAGGCAACACAGCGCTGATGTAGCTGCACTGAGCAAGACCCAGCAAGTGGGCAGTTCAAAGAACATGGAGGTGGCTATACCTTCTTCTGGAAGGGTAAGCAGGAAGAAGAACACCAACTTCACAAAGCTGGTTTTTCCATTAAGAATGAACTCATAAACCAACTTAGTGAGTTCCCCATCAGAATTAATGAGGGCCTCATGACTCTGTCTTAAGCTGGAGGGGAGCTAATATGCCACTGTCATCAGGAGGTACGCCCCAATTCTTGATGCCGCTGATGAAACCAAGGAGGAATTCTACGCCAACCCTGACCAAGTCCTTTTTGATGTTCTGGAGGGAGATGGACTTATTCTTCTCAGCAATTTCAACACAAGAGTCAGAAGGGACTCTAATCTCTGGAATGGAACCACTGGCAAGGAAGAAGTAGGAAAGGTCACCTCCAGTGGTATCCTCCTCTTGACCAAATGCACAGAACATGGAATCACCGTCACCAACACCCTGTTCCACCAGAAAAACAGGCATAAGACATTATGATCTAAGCACTGGCACCAGATAAACTATGTCATCGTCTGTGCCCAGGATCACAAAGACATTTGCATCACCCAAGCTATGCTAGGAGCCAATGATTACTGGACTGATCACTGACTCATCCGCTTGGTTATGTCACTCAGAACTGGCTTCCAAATAATGGCTATAGCAGAAGCAATGCCGATGAAAGGTCAACTTCAAAGGACTTAAGAATCCAATCAAGCAAGACCTCTTCCACCAGTGCCCCAACAAAAGAACTGGTGAATTCCAATCAACAACAATGGGAGAACATCTGCAATGTGTGGGATGCCCTCAAGGCCACTGTGCTTGTGAAGAGACACTTGGATTCTCTACCAGGAAACACCAAGATTGGTTTGATAAGAATGACAAGGAGATCCAAGAGTTGATCAATCACAAGTAAAAGGTCTTTTGTGCTTGTCAAAACGACACCAACTTCAAGGTAAAGAAAATGAATCTCCAACAAGCCAAAGGCAGAGGTCCAAAGGAGAACCCACAACATGAAGAACAAATGGTGGGAAGACAAGGCTAAGGAGATTCAACATCTCACTGACATCTATGATAGGCAGTTTTCAGTGCCATGAAAGCCATCTATGGTCCAAGAACTCAGGGACCAACCCCCTTGACACATAAGGATGGAGGAGACCTGATCAAGAAAACGGGAGACATCAATGCCCATTGGAAAGAGCACTCTGAAGACCTCAGTTGAGACACTGTTGTTGACAAGAGTTCTCTCGACTCCATCCCACAACACCCAGAGATGATCTTGGAATCCCTCCAATCCTTGATGGAGATAAGGAAAGGATGTGGGAACAAATGATATGGCCAGGAGTAATCTAGGTTGGATCATGAGCAACTACAAGGCTCTGGGTGCCAGGCTTAGAAGCTTGGAGGCACAGGTGGTCTTCTCATCAATCCTCCCGGTCAGCAGTCGTGGTCCACATCAAGACAGCTGTATTGGAGAAGTCAACTGGCAGCTCTGGAGTTGGTGTCGGCTTCTTTGACCATGGTCTGCACTTCCAGGAAAGAGGCATGCTGGGACGAGATGGTCTCCATCCCTCTTCAAAAGGTAAGAGTCTGTTCTCTTACAGGTTGGCTCATCTCCTACGCAGGGCTTTAAACTAGGTTTGTCAGGGGATGGGGGATGCAAAAGACAGAGATATCCTAGGAACGATGGACCAGGAGTCATGCACTGGAAAAGTCCAAGCAAGTACTGCGGGGTCCGACAGGCGTAAGGACAGGGGGTAACAAGGGCACCTACCTGGGGACTTAAATGTCTCTATACTAATGCTAGGAGCATGGGGAACAAACAGGAGGAACTCAAACTCCTGCTTGCAAACAAAGACTTTGACCTGGTTGGACTAACCGAAACCTGGTGGAACCCTACCCATGACTGGGCAGTAGACATTGAGGGCTACAGGCGGTATAGACGTAATACAGTGGGAAAAAGGTGGTGGGGGCGTTGCTCTCTATGTTAAGGAGCAATATACATCCTCAGTAATCAAGATGAGATCTGAAGAGGGGCAAACTGAGGTACTGTGGGTCAGAATACAAGGGGGTCAGGCTGAAAGAGACTCCCACTACCAAGTCCATTACAGACCACCACACCAGGAGGATGAGCTAAACCTGGAATTCTCAAAGCAGCTCTCAGAGGCCATACGCTCAAGTGATATGGTTATCATAGCTGACTTTGATTACTCTGGCATCTGCTGGGAGGTGCAGTCAACTAGATCCGACTGTTTATGTAGGTTCCTAACCTGCATACAGGACTGTCACCTAATACAGGAAGTATATGGTTCCACTAGGGGAAATGCCTTACTGGATTTGGTGTTTGCTACAAGGGATGACCTGGTGGGAGATCTGCAGATACAGGGTAGTCTAGGAGATAAAGACCATCAGTTGCTGGAATTTACTATCCGTCGAGAAGTAGGAAAGATAACCAGTAGGGCAGAAGTGCTAGATTTCAAGAAGGCTAACTTCAACGAGCTCAGGAGTTTAGTGAGATGCTGAAAGACAAGTGCCTTGGTGAGATGGGAGTCCAGGAAGGGTGGTCATTCCTCAGGGGACCGATCCTTCAGGCACAGAAGGGAACAATCCCATTGCACATGAAGGGGGGCAAAGGGGCCAAGAAACCCTCTTGGCTGAACAGGGAAATCCAGGAGAGCCCAGAGATGGGAAAGAAAAAAAAAGAGAGGCATACAGACTGTGGAAGCAGGCGGTACCCACCAAGGAGGAATATACCTATTTGGCTTGCACTTGTAGGGAGTTGGTAAGAAAGGCCAAAGCAGCAATGAAACTCAGACTGGCAACAAAAAAAAAGTCCTTTTTTGGGTATATAGGAAGCAAAAGAGGGCACACAGTAATATAGGACCCCTACAGGACAGACTAGTGCAATCAGTAACAGATAAGAGGGACAAAGCTGAGCTCTTCAATGAGATTTTGCATCAGTATTCCTGAACACAGATAAAGACATATCATCAAACTGGACTACAGACAGGCACAGCAGGGACACCAGCCCACCAACGGTTAGAGTCTTTTCTGTCATTTAGTTTTGTAACTTGTTGGTAGTTATAAAAGCAAGCCTTTCTGCTATTCATCAACTGAGTGTTATGTCAATTCATAAAGCACTAGGTTAGAAATTAGGTTTTTAAGTGCAACACCAGGACCCATTTGTAAGCATCAATGTCCAGTCCTGACCCAATAAACAGTTTAAGTAGAAAACACACACATATTTTGGTCCCAAAATATTAATTACACATGGTACAAGTTAAAGCAGCTCAACAGTCTTAAGTTTAAAGACAGAAATCAACAAGAAAACATTAACAGCAGTATCAACCTGTGGCCCTCCATTACTCCCAAATGACATTCATCATTGTGCAATTTGCACAATGCAAAATTACCAGTGCCCCTCACTTCCGACTCGCAGCCCCCTGGCCCAGTCATTTCCCCTAAGTCCCAACTCAAAGCCACCCAGCCTCCTAGCCCTGCTGGTGCCCCTCACTCCTGACTTGCCGTGCCCTGCCCCCAGCTCCACGGTGTGTGGGGCAGGGGGTGGGAGTATATGCACTCACAGAGGGCATGGGGCTGCAGCCTGGCTGGACTGGCACGGGCAGGAGCTGCCTTCATGGCCTAGCGGACAGGACCTGGAGAGGGGCATCAAGACTCGCTGCTGCTGCTGCCACCACTGCTAGGACACCAAGGCCAGCCACACCACCAACAGTGTGAGGAGTAATGGACGGGGGGTGGGCTGTGCTGCCCTCACCTCTTCCTGCTGCCAGCCGCTTGCGCGCTGGACTGTGGCTCCACTCCGCTGCCATGACCTGGCCACTGCTACTCTCCCCAGGCCACCCATGCTGCCCACCACCCCTTCAGGGTAGAGCTCAGGCTTGAGGGAAGCGGTGGCAGCAGAAGGAAGTGAGGGCAGCGTGCCCCCCCCCCCATTACTCCTTGTGCAGTCTTACCACCCTGCTCTGCCTTCCTGTGCAGGGTCTTGCTTGCTGGGCCACAGAGGTGGCTCCGGCCTGTGCCGGTCCATCCAGGCTGCAACCCCATGCCCACTCTGGGCACGCAAATTTTCCCACGATTGTTCATGACCCTTTTATATTTTCTCAACCTGTGGGTTGCAAGAGTCACTGCTCTAGGCAACAGGAAGATGCAGCATTTCATTACAAGCTTCTAAAATGACCACATGTTCTAGAGTGCTGTTGCTGTCAAAATACAACACACAAAGCCTGGATACAGGAGGCACCTCACTGCTGTTGAGATCTCCCTAAAATAAAGGTACATGAAATACAGTGCTTATAGGTCTGTAAAATTTTAAGTTCGTCCATATCACAGTGCATCAGATTGACTGCTAGACTGGTTCTGTTCTGTCTCAAATGCACTTTGCTATCTGTAGGAACCAGGTTACTCAGTTCTACACCAAGAATCCTTTTGGGTCCAAATACATGCTGCCCATTGATCTGCAGCAAAAATGATTAATGCAAGAGCTGAATGCGCTGGAAGACATACACAGCACAGGAGTCCAACATTCTACATTACAATTAATGAACCAACCCCAAAGAGCTTATGAAACATGGAGTGTGTGACCAAGAACACTGGAAGGGGCTGACTGAGGAAATTCAAGACAAGCAGAGCAAATGGTACTGAAATCAGCAGCCAGCCAAGAATGGTTGAGATGAAGGAAGCAATAACAAGAGGCATAATCAACATGGGCAGAGGGAGACATAACTCTAAGGAGACAGGAACACAGGGTGCCCTTTGCCAAGGGCATGGGGCTCCTGAATGCTCTCTCTTGCCAGTGTCTGGGACGTCACACAGCATTTTGTCTGAGTTGGCTATTTGGTAGTTTCCTGCTCTATCCCAAGGTGAGCTATTATTTCAGCTGTAGGGTTGCTTAAAGAGTCTTAGTGAGATGTCGAGGGCTGCAAGGGTCGCCCCACGCCCTGGTTGCAATCTTGTGACCGAAAGTCCCAACCCTAACCCCTGATCTTTGCCATTGGAAGACTCTCCCCTTGCCCAGGAAGTACTGCTTGGGGGGAGGAGTTGCTTGTATATTGTGTGTGGAGGGGTAGGTGGAATATTTGGGGTGTGGATATGTGTGAATGTGGGAGGGGGTGTGTGTGTGTGTGTGTGGGGGGGGAGTCGGTATGGTTGAGGTATTGGGTGAGTGTGCGGGTGTATGTGTGGGCTGTGTGGAGGGGTGGGGTGTGAGTATGGTGGGGTGTGTGGGGCTTCTTTTTCCACATGTGGCTTCCCCCCAATCCGCTCTTAGTGATGCGGCTAAGCCCAGCCCTTCTGCAGGTGTTGGGAGGGGATCCATGCTGCCTGCCTGCCTGGCTTGCAGCATCCTGTAAAACGGTGGGAAAGTAGCTGCTGCTAGTGGGCAGCAAGGGAAGCCCCCGGGAGAATGGGGTGGGGCACAGGGAGCCGAGCCTGGCACTACGGGCTCTCTCAGGCTCTGTTCCACACCCACCCGGCACAGCTGCAGCTGCGCCTGCGCTGGCTCCTACTGCTTCCACCTGCATCAACCTCATGCTGGTTCCTGCCTGTCTCATGCCTGCCCAACGGGGATTTGTGAACAGCCGAGTTCCTTCATGCCCTCCACTCCATCCACATGCTCCCCAGCCCAGCTATGTACAAACAGAACCAAAGCGAGATGCAGGCAGAGCCCACCCCACTCCCCTCAATGCTGCAGCCCCCCCTCCCTACCTGCTGCCCAAAGCTCTGCAGCAAGGACAGAAGTCACTATCACTGGAGGCTGAGGCAGCCCAGCAGTTCCCTGGGCAGTGCCATCAGCAGCTCTGCCTAGCTGTGCCTCCTGGCTGGGGCTGGCACCCACTGGTGGGGGAGGCTGGAAGCACAGCACATGCTGCCCCAGGCAGCAGTGGCCATGAATTGGCCCCATGTGGAGTGGAATGGGGGCAACTGACAGCTGGGTCAGAAACAATAAATTGGTGGGTGCCTGCCTTTGGGCCAGATCCAATCAGCTGGTGGGCACATGTGGCACGTGGGCTGTATTTTGCACACCCCTGCTCTATTAGCTGTCCAACTTTTAAACTGCACATCTCCAGGGCTGAATGTTGCCAGGGTGTATACTGCACCTAGTGCCCTTCCATCCTCAAGCTCCCTAGCTGCAGGCTACTCAGTTGCAGGCTCCCTCATTGGCTGCCCTATCCTGCCCTCATGGGAAAGGGTTAGGCAGCAGAAGCTAGAAGATACATGAGGAGCCCAAAGACCCAGCAGTATCAGGAGAGCAATGGGGAAAGCCATTCCTGGACCAAGAACCCAGGGGCCTAAAGCTAACTGCCCAGGGGCTGAATGAGGCCTGGAGGCCACCCGCTAGACAGCCCTGTTCTACTAGACTTCATGTGCTCAGCAACTCTACACAAGTATAAAATATCTGTGTCTTGGACTTAATCCCCCACTCCCGGTAAGAAAAACAGAATCTCAAGGGAATGCAGTTACCAAAATGAGTGATATTCATGTTGGTTCTCTTCACCCTCTTTCAGAGACAAGATCATTCAAAGAAACCTACCATTTTGAAGCGACATGGGATGTCACTGCGGAAAACCCCAGACTCCAGTGCCTCCACATGGCCACCAACATAAGTCTCAGAGTCCAGCACATGACCATCCTCGGTGAGCTTGTTGAATTCCTGCTCTTGCTTGTTGGGGAAGATTATGTTGGCGTGATGGGCCTGGACCATCAGCAGTGCCTCACACAGCGTTCCAGAACCCTTCCGTAACACCTTTGGAGATAAACATGGGGCTCCTGTTATCAGGCAGTTAGACACTCAGTACAGACCTGGCCACACAAAAGCCCTATGCAACTGAGACTAGGTTGGCCCACCTAGTCAGTGAGATGAGGAACTTGAACTAGTTACAGCCATCACTTGCATTTAGATACAAGATTGGAGAATGCCCCTACTCCAAAACAAAATGATTTAGGGGACAGTAAACAAAGCTGAGCCTCTGACTTGGTTGTATCTACACCAGCGGTTCCCAAACTGTGGTACGTGTACCACTAGTGGTATGCAGATGACCTGGAAGTGGTACGCAGAAAGCTGTGGGGAGGGGCCAAACACACCCAGAGCACAGTAGCAGCCTGCTGCAAACAGCCTGGAACACAGCACTGCATGTGGAGTAGCACCCAGCAAGTAAGTGTGTTGGGAGGAAAGGGAGTGGGCAGAGCAAGACCCCTATGGTGAGGGAGGTAGGGGAGCAGAAGCAGGGCCTAGGGTAAACAGGGCCCTGGGGCAGGTGGTGGGATGGTCAGAGCCTGGGCAGCTCATCCAGGGGCGTTGGGGGGAGGAGGGGAGGCTCCCTGCCAATGCACGCACCCTGGGGCAGGCACGTAGGACATGTGCCCCCCAAATCTGTGTGGGGTAGAAGCAGGCTGCCGCTGGGTTCTGCACCATGCTCCCGCTGCTGCTGCCTGGGAGCATCACGGGACGCCACGTGCCTGCTGCATGCTGGCTGTACTGTGTCCTCTGCCCACCTGGCAGCAGCAGGCACATTGTGTGCCATGCAGCTCCGGAGGCAGCTGTAGCACAGTGCAGAGTGCAGTGGCAGCCCGCTGCTCCCCGAGGTTTCTCTCTCCTCGGGCTGTGCCAGCCCTGCCACAGAGATGGGGCAAGCCAAAGGCGGCCTGGGCCTTTCCAGGGATGCGGAGGGGGGCGGGCATACCCCTGCTGGGCACACCCTGGGGCAGGCATGGGGGACACATGCCCCCTGTTCTGTGCATGGGTGGAGGTGGGTTGCACACTGGGCTCTGCCCCATGTGGCACTGCCTCCCGACCTGCACGGGATGCCATCTGCCTGCCACTGCGAAGCGGGCAGAGGCACTCTGCCCCTCCCCCTCCACAGACTTACCTGCTGGGCACTGTGCATCTGTGTGCGTGTCTGTAAGTTCGTCTATGTCTGTCACTCCCAAGCCGCTGCCCTTCACTCCTGACCCACAGTAGCCTGCATCCTGTGAGGAGGTGCCCTCCCCAGTCTCAAAACCCCCACATACATCCCCACCTTCACAAATCCCGCCCCGCACACACAAACCCCACCCCCCAACCATACAAAGTACCTGCATGATTTTGAGTTTTTAGCTATGCAATTAAAATTGCAATTGCAAGTAATTTAACATCCCACAACTAATCACAATCAATTTTTTAAATTTTAACTGTTTTATATGGCTACCATAACTGATAAAACAATCTTTTATGATTACTAAAGGTTTTGATGTTGTTTTAATGCATAGTCCGTTACCTATGTGTATGAAAAATTTGCTGGTGGTACTTAAGGCTGTATCATTTTAAATTGGTCGCACTCAGCCTGTCAGAGTTTGGGAACCACTGGTCTACACTATAGATCTGACTGCTGCACTAACACCAAATAAGTTCCCCATGGCTTGCGTTAATGGTACTCACAGCAGGCCTACATATCATGGTGAAATTTTTCCTGGCATTGCCAATGTCATATTTACTCTACCGTACCCACTTAACTAGTACAATGGCAACTGTGGGAGATCTGCTGAGATGTTTTACCAAAGTTAGCTCCTTAGAGACCACTGGATAGATCTGGCCCAAGATAATAACAAAGAGGCCCTTTGTTGAGTAAATGTCCAGAAGCTGGCATAACACCTGCTGAAGCCTCCTTTTTAGAAGTAGTGGGCATGCAAAATCTTAGCCAAAAATCACTGAAAGCTGCAGATGCTCAGCATTTCTGACCTATATATGCCTGCTTTTACCCCACTGAGCCAAGAAAGGGGGAAGTATATTGGCAACGGGAATGCTTGCATTGACAGAGCATCCTTGCTGACTGCTTACTAAGGAAGCAACTCCTCTACTCAGCACAGGAAAAACTTGATTTCTTGAGAACACTCACCTCATCAGGCTCCATGGGAATGATGGTGCACAAGGCAAAGATGAAAGGGTGAACATACTTCATGTACATATAGTATGTAGCAACTGCATCAGACACTGAATAGGTGGCCAGAGTCTAATGGGAAACAGGAGTGAATCACATTAATATTCACTTCAAGGCTAAAAAAGCAACACCTCCACGCTTACTGCTTCCTGAAGAAATATGGGCAGACCCTGCTTAAAAAAAAAAAAAAGAGTAAACACTGTTTTTTGGCTTAATGGGACAACTTAATTGTGTAGCCCCAAGGTCAGCAACATTTTCTGGTGGTGCAAGAGCAAAGACTCAACTAAGGTCAGAGTTAGGCAGGCACTAGGATTTGGCAGCTGCTGCTGCTTCTCCCTGCTGTTCAGCTACAGTGCCATGTGTCAATAGCTCCCTTCTGCCAGAGCCCCAGGCAGCTGACTGTGGCATGGTCCTGGGAGACCTCCTTGCTGCTAAGTGCCACAGCTAGACACGCTAGGTCCAAAGGCTTTAGGTTAGATCTGGCTTGCAGGCTATGGGTTACCCCCAGTGTAGCCAAATAAAAACCCTTTAGTTTTCATAAAATGAGGGATGGAGAAGTTGCTGCCTACCTGGCACAGGTGTTTTAGAATTGTAGCAGTGGGGAATAATAATTGGATTATTTATAGGGGTGCACTGATAAAGATTTTCCTAGCCAATACCAATAGCTGATTATTAACCAGCCATATTGGCCAATACTTATCTGATAGCTGATTTACAGGAATGCAGCCTGGCAGCTTGGAGAGCAGCATCCAGCCAATAAGTCTGTGGGGGGGCAAAGGGGCATGGGGGAGGAAAAGGGTGTGGGGGGTAGATCCAGGCCCCCATGCTGAGGGAGGGAGTGGGTAAGGGGTAGATGCTTGCCAGCCAGGGTAATAAGTGGGACCCTGGGGCCAGGAGCAGGATGGGGCCACAGGTGGTTCATCCAGTGGATGCAGAAGGTGGGGCGGGGCAGCCACTCTCCACTGCTGTGACCTCCCCCAGGGGAGGCATGGGGGGCATGTGCCCCCCAGATTTGTGTTCGGGATAAGGGTGAGCTGCCCACGGTGGGCTTGGGGCCAAGGACTGCGCCAGCCTTTTCCCAGCAGGGGGGCTAAGAGTGGGGTGGGTGGCAGCGGTGCTAGGAAGGGCGCCTATGGGGAATTTTGGGGAGGTTATAGCCCCCCAAACCTCCCTAGCCCTGTCCCTGCTCAGGGCACTCTGCTCTGCTGCCTTCCCCTGAGGAGCCCTGTGCTGTGGGGCACATAGGGGGCACACGGCCAGCACGGGGCTCCCAAGGGAAAGGCAGCAGAGCGGAGTGCCTGAGCAGGGGTGGCCCTTGAGGCTATAGCCACCCCAAAATCCCCTGTAGCCCCCCCTCCCAGCACTGCCGCCTGCCTCGCACAGCTGAGCCCGCCCTACTCCCAGTCCCCCTGCTGGGAAGAGGCTGGTGCAGCCCCTGGCCCTAAGCCCACAGCAGGAAGCCCACCTCTGCCCCACACACAAATTCAGGGGTAGGTGCACATCACCCCATGCCTTCCCCAGGGGTGTGCCCAGTGGCACCGCCCCGTCCCCCCCACCATGCCCCCTGGATGAGCCACCCACGGCTCCATCCTACACCCAACCCCAGGGTCCCATTCACTGCCCTGGCTGGGCAGCTCCTGCCCCTGCCTCAGCCCCACTCCCTCCCTCACTATGGGGGCTTGGATTTGCTCCCTGCCCCATGTGCTCCCTGCCCCATGTCCTCCCCTCACCCCTCAACTTACTGGCCGGATGCTGCTCTCCAAGCTGCCCGCCTACATGCATGTGTATGGCTGCGGCCATACATGTGGCATTTAATTGGTGATATTATTGGCTACATCGGCCAAAAAAAGTTGATAATGTTAATTTTCTTTTTCTTGGTACCAATCCAATATGCAACTGATATATTGGCGCACCTCTAATGATCTTTTCGGTTGCATGTGTCTTCCTTCGAAGCTACTTGTTAATTTCTTTGCTCCTAGTTTCTAGCTAGGGATCCACCAAATTCACGGCCCCGACAACTGATTACACAGCTGTAACATAGCTGGGGCCCCCCCGATTTGACAGCCGCATCACGGCTGTGGCCACTGTTTTGAAGGCCACACTGGGTATGCAGTTTCAGCCAGGTGGTTCCTACCCCAGCATACAAGGCTCTAGCTTCTGGCTGCTGGATCTGGAGCCCTAGCACTCTGCTGCTTGCTTGCTCCAGAACAGCTCCTGCTGCCCTCCCACTGGTGCCCGCAGCCCAACCGGGTGCTTCTCCACGTCCCCTGCCTCCAGTTCCAGGATCTGGAGCCGAGTCCTGTGCTTGCTGGGAGTGGTGTGGCATGGTGCAGCAGGAGCAAGCTGCTGCTGGAGGCAGAGAGAGCAGACCAGCACCTGGCTGTCTGCAGTCATACCAGGAACAGCCTACTGAAAGCTGCTCCTGCCCCTGCTGCACAGTGCTGTGCTGCACCATGCCACTTTGTTTTGGGTAGAAAGGCAGGCGAGCAGCTTGAGGCAGGCAGCTCCTGCCAGTGCTGGGGCTCCAGCTTCAGCTCTCGCTGCTTTTCCTGGAGCTGGAGCCCTGTCTGCTGGGACAGGAGCAGGTTTCAACAGGCTATCCCCAGGGCAGGTTGCTCTGATGTGAGCAAAGGGGGCTCAGCCCCATGCAGAGTGCCATGGGGGGCAGCATGGACATCACTCCCCAGAGAGTGATCTCTGCTACGCGTCCCTCACTTTCTCCCCTCCCCTCACCCACAATAGGCTCCCAGGACCTGACACCATGTATTTGGTAGATCCCTATTTACCGCCCTCATCCAACCCTTTTAAGTGCCTATATTCTTTTACATGTGTTTAACTCCATAAGCCCCGCTTTGGGCAGTATTGAACTTAAACTGTGCCTACTTCTTTCCCACAACTGAAGAAAGGCGCTTTGTGCCCAAAAGCTTGTCTAATATCTCTCTCAACCATACAGTTTATCAGGAAAGGGAGAACTGTACAAAACTGAAAAGTACCTGAGGTTCCTCTGTAGCCATCCGGCACATCTCTTCAGGGTCCAGCTCCACTGGGTCATAACCCAGCTTTGCTTTAGCTGCTGCTTTCAGGTTGTGGCTTCCTACTGGGAGGTAACTGTCTCTCTTTACCCATCTGAAAGGAATAAACAGAAAACCAGCTTGTGAACAGAAGCCAAGGGAAAGAACACAGTTCTGTTCCAGAAAGCAATGAACTACACACTACATACAAAGCACTTTGATTACTAGAACAAGCAGAGGAGGAGAACAGTAGCATTCATGGAGGTCTGGTACTGCTAGTCAGGAACAAAGTCTAGCACAAGGAAAGGCTAGGCAGTTTCAGAGTATGCCTTTGCTAATGGATTCAGTCCTAATTTGCTGCAGCCTGAACCTTGGTTAGCTAGAAAACAGATTTACAAGCTAATTCTAGTCAAAGTTTCCTAAAGCAGATTTGTCCAGTTGCAAAAATGATTGCCTTTTTCTTCTGAACCTGTGAGAAAAAACTGCCAGGTAGAATGTGATTATGTTTACACAAGGGGAATAGGATAAAACAAACCCTTGGCATTTGTTATTAAAGTCAGAGGGCAATTAACTATCTTATAACCTGACTAACAAGACCATTAACAAACTAAACAATCTACACCCCAATAAACCCATTGCTAGATCCAGCAAAACAAGGGATGCAAAAGTGCAATGCTTGTTTTCTGTGAATAACAACCTCATTATCTCATTATAAACCAAACATCCAATAACCAGACACTGGAGATAGTATGCACTTTATAAAAAACTGTAATTAGATAGAGTTGAAGGGGACAAATAAAAGTGCACACAATAAAGGTGGCATCTGGTACCTGAGACAGTCCATGTGGATGCATTGTGAGGTTTTGTACTCCCCTTGACTGTCTTTTTGGAATCCAATTTCCTGATGCACATTCAGTCCATGAACTGCTGCTCTGGCTTCCACAAAGGGCCTAGGGAGGAAGACAATGTGCAGCAGAAGGGATACAACAGGTGCTTTAAGCTCTCTTCCCTTAACAGTGGTTACAAATGTCCTGATATTATAAATCACCAAGCCCAGAGCTTACTTGGTGAACCTCACTTGATCCTACACTTTCATGGCTATTCTAATATAATAAGAGGCTTAAGTCCATCTGTCAGTCTGTAACGCTTCTGACCAACTGTGCATGTGCCAGGCTGTACGGGCCCAAGTTTACACCGCTGCCAAGGAAGTTTGGCAGCGGGGAACATGCCCTGGCTGCCCGAGCAGCAGGGCTTCCCTTTGCCTCCCTGTCTGAGGGCAAAGGGGTGGGGGTGGGGGGAGGGTGGAAATCATAGTGGCAGCGCCCCCCAGAACAACCAACAAGGAGGAGGAAGCAGGCAGATGCGAGCCAGGTGGACTTGACGCAGCAAGGGGGTGGGGTGCAGGATTGGGTCCTCACTGGGCCTTCCCTGTCATTCTGGACGGGCAATTTGCTAGTACTATAATATTTGGATACAAGACTGAATAAAGTTCCATCAGGATCATATAATGGGGATTATGATACAAACAGATACAGCATCTCAACTGCAATCTATACCTGGATACAGGACTTTGAGGTCAATCAGCTCTAGCTGTGTGAATCCTCCACTGTTCTCCTTTCCGGACTCTTCTTTTCCACCCCCACCTCTAATTTTAGCATCAACACACACAAGCATATCTCCTTGGCATAAATTCAACCATGAAATAGTAGTATAGAGAGAAGCTTAGAAATTCATGGAGTAACTAGACTGAGCTACATCTGGTGTCATTTTGCAATGCAGCTACATCAGTTGACTTTGAAATAAGTTTTGCATAACACTTTTTCACCCTATTACTGCTCTGCAGATGGAGTCTGAGAACCACAGACTTCAATTAGTCTTCTACACTCCTAGAAGGAGTTCTAGGAGAGTGCTTCAGGGCAAAGAGAATGGCCAAATACCTCATTTGGATTACAGTAGCATTACACCAACACCTTGGAATCCCCTGGAAAAGGAAAGAGGATGCATGACCTGCACCTGTCCCCTATTTCAGTTAACCCTTGCCCTGTAAAGTCCAAGACCTAGTTTCCAGTTCCATTATTACCAGTCAAAGAAGTCTCCATTATAAGTGACAAAGATGGTGGGTTTGGTCTCCTGGATATGCTCAAACCACCTCCGAATTAAATGGGCCTGGTTTAAAGAGAAAGGTAAAACAATAGGTAGGTCATTTCCTTTCCAGGATGGAGAAACACTAGATAGCATAGCCTATCTAACACTACAGCCATAGCTCTTCCTCCCTCTATAACCTGAACTGCTCTACTATGACTGAACCCAGGAAACAAGTGGTAACTGGAACCATAGCCCCCAATAGGAAGCAACCTATTGTATGACCCAGTGTTCTTTGGTCTACCAAATATTTGGGTAGATAACAGGCAGCTGTATGAGCTTCATCTTCCAAACAGAACCCACTCACCTCATCTGGCTCATTAAAGATGCAGAAAGGGCCTTCATACTCTGGCTTAGGAGTAAACTCAAAATCTTCAATATCCTCAGAGACAATCTCTCTGTTTGTGATCAGGTAGCCCTAGGAAAACCAAAACTGGGAGACATTACTGGGTATGTGCAGCCTAGGTGTGACAAGCTTGGTAGAGCTTTATAAAAGAGAAATATGCTGTATACAGACTAGAGTCTGATATGATCCTGCCTTGTAATTGCAGAGGTTCATGCATGACAGAAGATCCTCTCTTGACAAAACAATGTCTATGATCATGTTGAGAGATTTCAATTCTTGGCCCAAGATTTAAATTTTGTATGGAAGTTGAAGGGTAACTGAGATTTCCACCCCCACCCAAGTCCTCTCACTCACTGCTTTTCATCAAGAGAAGGATGCCTCGTCCCAACTGGATGATGCATACTTCTGTAATAGACACTAATGCAGGAAAGCTGTGGGGGACCCTGCAGTCTCTGACATACATAATTTTGTTCAGTTACCCATTCAATAAATACTGACAAGCTTGCAATGAAGGTAAAGTGAAGAAGAGGTGACTGAAGCCTCATGGCTAGCCTACGACATAACTTTGGGGATGGCAGTTACCTGACCATCAATCATGTAAGAGATCATCATGATCTGGTCCGTCTCTGCATCAGGGAACTTCAGGGGGAGCTTGGTGGTTTCGATATCAAAGGCTAGAACAACAGGATCCTGAAAAATATCAAATAAGTCCAATCAGAACCTGGATTCAAGTCAAAGTGATCTAAGATCATCTTTAAGACAAAACAACACAGTAAACAAGGCAGACTAACTCATCTCACTTTCCAACCCAGCAACCCAGTATCAATCTCCAAGCCTTGTACTAGTCACCACACCCCATGTGGTATACAGTCAGTCACATATTTGGAAAAACTTACACTTCGTTTCTGGAAATTAATTTGAAGCCAAGAAAATTCAGCTATGTATGGCCACTACAAACTGGCTTTTTCCAGACAGGAACACTCACCGGTCGCTCTACCAGGTCATCTCTGCGAGTGATTTCTGGAGGGTAGACATTGCCACGGTAGCGGACATTGTACCAATGAGCCTGTAAAAGCAAGAGAATTTAAAAGAGCTGTATTAACAGATTATGCCAGTAATAAGTTTGAGCACAAGGACAACTGTACTACATCTTGAGTTGTATGCAATAAGTGCAATATGAAGGAGCTAGTGAATTGCCTGTCAGGACTGATCGGGGAAGGGGGAGGGAGGAGGTGGCGGCGGGCAGGGACGGAGTACTGTCATCCATCACCCCATGCTGCTTCCCAGGAGATGGAGGGGAAGAAGCTTGCATGTGGTAGCTGCTGCTGCCACCCACTGCCCATGCTGCTACCACTCCACATCTGGCTGTGCCGCCCCCACCATGTAGCCTCATGCCACCCCGCCCCTCCGCATCAGGCCACACGCCACCCCTGCCTCCCTCTGGCTCCGAGTCCAGCCCAGCACCTCCCAGGAGCGGAGGGGGGCGGAGCTTGCATGTGGCTGTTGCCACTGCCACCCACCACCCCACGCTGCCACCACTCCGGGGACAAAGTGGGGCTGGACACAGAGGATGGCAGGGAAGCTTGCACACGGCCACTGCCACCAACCACTGCCCTGCAATGCCATGGCTCCTCGTCCATCCCCGCCTCGCTCCCCGGCTCCATCTCCTCCATCTCTGCCATCATGGTGCCACTCCACCATCCGACTCCATCCCCAAAGAGCACTCCGATTGGTTATTTCAGTAAGCATTGTGATTGGCTGCCAAGACGACCAGAGTGCTCCAAGAGCGTTACGGACAGACAGACACACAGACTAAGCCCTTTATATATACACACAGAATGGGGGAATAAGTCACTAGAGCAGGAGTAAGAAACAAAGCTCCTGAGTTCTATTTCTAGTTCTGTCAAGATTTGATCCTGTCCACAGTGTGGCTTTTGCTAAGTCATTTCACTTTTCTGTTTAGTTTTTACATCTGAGAAAAATCACAAACAGTAATGAGCTGCATTAAATTCATGGAAATACTTGGATGGAAGGTACTATAAAAAAGGAAAGGATTTACAGTGGGTTGGTTTTTTTTGGTTGGTTGTTTTTTTTGGGGTTGTTTTTGTTTGTTTTGTTTTTTTTAACAGCTCTAAAAGAACAAATGTTCTGAGTTTCCTGGAACCAAAGCTTCCTACCTACCACATGGATCTTCAGATCAATGGACAGGCGAACATGGTATGGGACATCATACTCCCGCATATCAATTATGTTGTCCATCTGGTTGGCTGTCTTTTTCAAAGGCTCTGCATCATCTGTGGTCAGGCTGCTGCCAGTTAGTACACTGCAAAAGGCAGGGAAAAGGGATAGTTTATAGGTCTTAAATTTAGTGTGGTTAAAGAAGACAGAGCACTGTGACAGCAACCCTAAGCAACATGACATGCTTGAAAAAGGCAAAGATTCAATTTGAACAGCTGCTAAAATAGAAACGAGACAAATTTTCCATATGAATACAGCAGCCATTTTCATAAGAAGGAAAAAAAGGTTACTTATCAGAAAAACTGGGATATTTCCTGCAGCTGCTCTCATAGCTCCCTCCCTTGTTGCCAAAAATTGAACAAACAAAACAAAAGAATTGGAGGGATGATTAGAGGGGAGGCATGAGTGGAGTGAGATCTTTAGGGGTCACATGTGAAACATCTTGATCAGCAGAGCACCCAGGGAAAACAAGGGTATTATGTTGGGCATTAGGAACACTTTAAAATAGCTGGCCAAGAAACAGAACACCTACCTGGATAGCATGGATGTGTAGGCATCGCTTGCCTGGTCTTGCTCTTGGTTCTTCTTTACTGCAGGAGAGATCTCCTTCCGCACCTTCACCAGGTCATCCACTGTGCTGAAGGACAATTTGATGTAGTTTCGCTTCAGACCCACCAGATGATTTGGCTACAAAGGAACATTACCATGCCAATAAGTGGCAGAGAAAGAAAATGTTAAGACTAACAGAGAAGGAGGACAGACCATGCCAGTGAGAGAGAGTTAAGTATGGTGGTTGTATCAAACTATAGGTGAGACTTTAGACCAAAGGCAGACAGTATCATTAGGTGGGGATACAATAGATAAGAAACACCATATCACAAATTAAACTAGGAAAATGAAGGATAGGAAAAGATTACACACCTACAGAAAAAGTTATTTCTGCTCATTAGTAATACCCAGGCCACTGCTTGATGGAATATAGACCTAAGATATTTGAATCAAGCAAATCTATCTGCATGCCATTCTCTTCAGTCTTACTCCTTTTGTTTCTTTAGAGCTACACACCCTCATAAGAACTTTACAGTAAGAGCATAAACAGCAGAGTAATAGTCACCAAATCCAAATCCTCTTTCGGCACAGTTTCCAGCTTTGCAATTTTCCCTTGAAACTTCTTGGAAAGGAAGGAAGATACTTCTCGTTCACAGCCCTGCGAAGAGACCTGAGGATCAGCAATAAACTCTTCCCAAAAGGACAGCAGTTTCCAGAACCAAGTGAGACAACATCTGCATCTCTCAATCTATGTGGGCTTTAATACTAGCCAGACTGCCAACTACTCCCTTCAAAACTGGGAATAGATTTTAAGTAGTCTCCTAGACTGTAAAGCCGAGAACTGACAGACAAGCACAGCAGTGGTAGTGCTCAAACTGCTACATGTGCACAAGCTTGTAGCAATACAAGCAAGCTAAGTCACCCCAGCTTTGGCCCTGGATAAAGTGAAAGCTAATGCTGGAGTTGTTCTGTCACGTTTGCTTCCCTACGGGTTGGGGCACATGTAGCAGTTACAGTCTAGCATGTGCTGTGCACTCCTGAGTAGCATCTCCCCTTCTTTTGAAACCACTCTAAATAAGCATTTATCCACTCCCTCTGCAGATTTCCCAGGCGGGCAGAGTAGAACAGCAGCGAAGAGCTGGCCACTTACTGGATGCTGAACAGAAGCAAAAGGAGTATCATTCACTCCTGTGGGCTCTTTGGGGTTTAACCTTGCAAACACAGGAGCAACAGGTAGCTGTTATTCTGAAGGATAGCTCATTAACTAAAATAAACTCTTTTTCCTTTTATCTATATTAGAAAGGCGACATTATCGATAACAGCTCTTTCCCATTTCCTTTCAGTTCTACCAGACTTAAAATGACAAGCCCCAATGCATCTAAGACATCAGTACTATAACAACTTTTTCTTGCTTCTTCCAGGCAGGACACTGACACCTGCTCCTTCTCCCCAAAGCTTCCCAGACTATCACTGTGTTAATGCTCCTATGAGCACGACTGAACGATACCACCACACTCTACCAAGACCCTGCTTGTCAGCCCCAGGGTCCCAAGGTTGATGTTCTACCTACCTTTCGAGTTGCAATGTAGAAGTATGGCTTGTAGGGCAGGGCCACCTACAGGTGGAAAAAAAGTCAATACCACACACTTTTGCAGTAAAAGAAAAAAAAGAAAATAGTTAAGACGCATTCCTCATGCTACATACTGGTGTATGTGACATCAGTATTCCCGCCCTAGTTTCTCTCCAATAGCAGGCAGAAACTAGTTTGGCACAGGAACATTATAAAGAGCAGGGGCAGCCACTTTATACTCTTTCCGTGCCAAACCGGATTCTTTTTGCCCTCCCATGGTGCCCCCCATATTCCTCAGTCCTTAACCTCTCCCAGACTTACCTTAAACCTACTTCCATCCTCCTGGATGAAATAATAATCCACAGAGCTGACCAAGCGCTTATCTTCATCCAGGATCTCTGTCTGAGAACCAAAGAAGTATTGTTTTATTCATCCTGTTAAACAGGATATGCAAACCCCACATCCTCCCCTTTCCAGGCACCTGCCTCTTGTCTCCTAACACACTCAGGCCCTTCCCCCCACTCGGGAAAGCAGTCCTGTGGTTACAGCTCCACCAAACCATTCAGCCCTCTGTGCCAAAATGCCAAGTACCACCCGGGACTGATGTGCAGACAATGCTCAGGGAGGGGCGTGGGCCAGTGCTGCAGGCAGCGGCGAGGGGACAGGGCCGGTACCGGGTGCATGTTGATCAGCCAGCCGGTCTTCTCGCCAGGGTCCTTCATCCGCTCAAACCCAAACTGCGCGTCCATCCTGTCCGCACACTGGCTCCGCTCCAGGCGCTTGAGAGCGGAGAGCGAGGAGCCATCGTCCCTAGGGCGAAGGGAGCGTAAGGAACATCATCACCCGCCCACCCCGCCCCTGACAGCCGCGCCGGCTGGGGGAGAGCGTCGGGGAAGCTCGGGAGCCCGCGGCGACGCTCCCCGGCGCGCCTGGGTCCGGCAGCGGAGCCGGGCAGGGAAGGCAGCAGGAACCGCGCCCGCACCGGCAGCTCCAG